TCTTTGAGCACGAAGATAGAAGTAAGACAGGAGCAAAGTCTGGACCACTACGTCAGAGTTCACAATTGCCGAAGAAAATTTTGGCACGACTCAGTTATTTCGAACAGCGCTATGGCCCTCATTTCTCTCGGCCAAGCTACATCGTTCGCCTGGTAATTGCCAATTTTCTGACGATATGGAAGACACTTAATAGTTCATCATGCAAAAAACTTCCCTCTATTCCTCTTGCGGAAGGCATGGTCTGATACTATCGTTGACCTCCCGATTCCCAGCGACTACTCTAGTTGCACCTGAGTGTCCTTTAAGAGGCCCGTCGCGCGGCGGAGGAAGAGACGCATATGCGCAAAGAACGAGTCGCAGCGCGTGCTGTCCGATGCCGCGCCGCGTCTCTTCCTTCGCCGCGCGATAGGCCTCTTGGGGGATACCCGTTGCACCTCATCTACTGAGTGAGGGATCATGAAGGGCATGCAGTTGGAATAGCAGATTTTCGACTGCTACGGCAGGTAACTCTGCCATTCAATGACTGCTTCTTCTTAACTTCTGAAGCAATAGGTGAGCCTTGTTTTCAGGGAAGTACACCGCGATGCTTGATGGATTTTTCGCAATTCTGCGTGAAATGAACGCTGGTGAAACCCCTGTGGAATGGATGCTGAGGACACCTTTATAGTCCCCAGTTGAAAGTGAAGCTCCGTGCATTCCTGCTTCTTAGAAAATAGAACAACGGGCACAGCCGGCTGTGGTAACAATGGGGTTGAAGGCGAATGAATGATAACACACCCTCCCACGCGTATGTACGGGGAAATTTAAGGGAAATGTAGAGGGAAAGTCAATATCTGAACATGCAGAAGAATGCCACATTTAATTTTGTTACCACAACCATGTTTTGAGGTTTGTGGTTCTAGGTAGACTGAATGTGAAAAACAATGTGAGGCTTCAATCCGAAACGCTCAAAAACTACAAAGGAGTTGCAAAAGATTTGCAAAAGCTTTATAAGAATTTGCATGCCTTTTAGCTGAGCATTCGCGGCTAATAAGTTTGTCAAGCCGTCAGAAAGAGGTCAAATAAGTTTAGAGCGAGCCTTCATGTTCCGATAAAAGGATAAAGCATTTGCCGTTGATCAATCCCTTTTGGGATGCGGCACGCATTCTACTTCCATTTGTACATTCGTAGTGGCGTTTGAATGCGATGTGGCCTATACAATGACTTGCGGGGGCCAGCCGATGTACAAGTCAGTGTTTTTATCCTCCCAGACAAGTCTGGTACCAATTAACCGACCCCGGAGGGATGGAAGGCTTGGTTGGCCCGGGCGACTCACGACCCAGGATTTGATCCCCGGACCGCTCGCGTGGTAAGCGTGCCACTTGCCACTACACCACTTCCGCCCATGTTCCATATAATAAAGTGGAACTTTGTTGGCTGACTAACAGCTGTTGTTACTCACCAATTTGAATTCTACCACCCAATTACTCCACTGCGCAGCAGAAATTGTAGAAACTCGCCAAAAAAGGAATACAATCTTTCAAGTGCTTTTGTAAACCTTGTGGTTCTTGTATTTTATTTTGTTTATTAAACTAGCGAAATTTCTCAACAGCCTTATGGTTGGCGAGGATCGCGGGAAAAAATGCGCATCCTTGACGACTAAACGATGTCACCTTCAGTAGGGGTTTTTAATTGGTACAGGGTCAGCAGTAGCTTGTGAGAATTGATTTGAGATAAATGACGTCTCCGTTCATCACAAAATGCTTCGGGATTAAATGAGGGAGTTCTCTGTACAAATATGACGCCCGGGTGCTAACTGAATCAAACCTAAAGAAAAAGCAGGAACTACCCCCGAAAAGGTCCAAAATAATGACCTCCTCTTCGTTAGTTACTTACAAGCCAGGGCTGGGAGGATTACGTGTCTGAACGTGTTCACAGCAGCTGCTGGCTCCATGCCAACAACCGACACGGCCATAAAAATCAGCAATGGAAATTGATTTCTTCTAATTTTTCTATTTTTCTGCTTATTTCTGCTTTTTTTTTTTGTTTTTCCTATTTTAAAAATTTGCTCTCCTCAGAATGAATGGCAAAGTTCACGATAATGGCGGTAACACAGACTCGAGAAAACATTACTATCGGCTGGGTGCGGGACTTTTGGTGCGTCCGGGGTTGCACGCGGCGAATCGCGCGGCGGGCTGCGCGGCGATCCGGACGAGGCAAGTCTTCGCGGGCTTCTGCGGTGGAATCCAACACGTCAGAACGTGTGCAGATCGCGGATAGAATCCACAAGGTTCTGCGATTCGAATTACATTCCAACGCGTGGATATTCAAAGGCGGCAGGAAGAGAAGAAAAGGAATAGCAAAAGGCTGTTATAGCAGTGGATTTTGACTTGTTTTGTTTGTTAACTGCTGTTTTAACGCCGCAGTTCGCGTTGCGAATGTTTCACAAGAATGCTGGGTTGTGAACAAAACTTTCGCCCCAGGCGGGACTAGAACCCGCACCTCTCGCTTTCCGGGCAAGTGCGCTACCAGTTACGCTAACAGCAGTTAACAAACAAAACAAGTCAAAATTCATTGCTAAAGCTTTCAGCCTCGCGGTCATTGCCGATATCGGCTAACCGGCTCAACACGTTAGACGTGTGAGTGCTGAAAGCTATGGTACGTATACCATGAAAAGCTGAGTTGGAATGAAATGGTGCCCCGGTAGCGTAACTGGTAGCGCACTTGCCCGGAAAGCGAGAGGTGCGGGTTCTAGTCCCGCCTGGGGCGAAAGTTTTGTTCACAACCCAGCATTCTTGTGAAACTGTTATAGCAAACGGGGCGCTTAGGTTGCTGGCGCTTGTTGTTAAGGGGGGGGGGGGGGAATCCCATGAGCGGAGAGATTCAACCAATTATTGTGTTTGGGACTAAGCCTGAGGGGAAGAGTTTCTCGTGGAGGATGTGAGCAATTTCTGTTCTCCCGAGCGTATTTCCCTTCTCATGAGCTTAGTTCTAGTGTCACCTTCCATTGGCCCTGTTTTGAAAGTTCTCCCCAAGGACAGGAGCGCCGCGATTAGCAAAGATATAGAGTTGACAATAAATAACATCTCACTAAATGACTCCATTTTTAGTGCTTCTTATTCATATTTATAATATGATAATAGTGACATTTCTATGAAGTTTCTCTCTTTCATCTCCTTTCGCTGTAATCTTCTCACTGACACCGCTGCATTTCACCGATCTCCGCGAGTGGGGGAAGTTTCTTTCAAAGCAGAACCTTGTGGATTCTATCCGCGATCTGCACACGTTCTGACGTGTTGAATTCCACTGCAGGAGCCCGCGAAGACTTGCCTCGTCCGGATCGCCGCGCAGCCCGCCGCGCGATTCGCCGCGTGCAACCCCGGACGCACCAAAAGTCCGTCGCCCTATCGGCTAGCTATCACAAATTGGGTCCCAGAATCGAAGCGTCTTTTGCAATTCACCTCGCTTGAACCCTATTGAAGAACAGTCAAAAATCATGCCGAAGAACGTGACGTACATCAACGGTATGATTCTTTATTTCTATAGCAGCAGTGCAATGCCCCTCTTGTCACATTATCGCATGCTAGTTTGCCAATGCAAGATGCTTTCCTTCACGCACCCACTAACCCACAGGCTACTGGCAGCGACAAGTGCGCCCAGTCAAACGTTCAGCTTTCCGCGTGGAACGCGGTGAAGAAGTACATATTTCCTACTGTTTCACTACTTGGCATACACTTGAGTAATTTGGTTCAATGAGTCGGCTAAGTTTGTTAACACAATGACGCCCACGCCGATTTTAGGCGCATGTCACACATGTGTCATTGGCCGTATTGCGTGCGTGCATACTCGGCGATGCACAAATCTCATATGTGGGACATTTTGTGGGTTTTCGTTGCGGGACCCACATAGCCGATCCATTGAAAGGGCGCGAGAGCTTTCGTTTTTTTTACGATACGAATCATACGACTTTTTTCATTTTGCTTGTATTACGTGTTTATAGTTCAATAAGCGTTTAGCTTTGTTTCGTACGTATTTTTGGGAGCCTTTTTGAATACCGTCACTATAGTAACACCATTTTGGACAATGCAGGCAGACTGGTGTGAAATTCCACGCAACTTCCTATCTTTTTTTGTCTGGCAACGCCAATCACTTACTCCGCTAAGGGCGTACTCCGCTGCGAGTTTGGCTGTTATATTGCACGAAAAAAAGCTAAGCAAGTTCCATCAAAATTATTCGCTTTTTTAAAGCACATAAGCCAAATATTCAAAGAAGTACTGAAAAGGTTCGTCGTGGGACAGATTACGAGTGGGGGACTTTTGGCTTGCCCGGGATGGTACGCAGCGAGTTGCGCGGCGGCATGCGCGGCGATCCATACGAGGCAAGGCTTGGGGGCAGGGCCAACCCTGCGTTGCGCAAATTCCCAAATTTTTACGA